AATGAAGCGTCGATGCTTATTAGTCGTGTCGGTGTATGCACCGACCGATTGCAGTACACCTAAAATCAGGGATGAATTCCACAAGAACCTTTCTCAATTACTCCAGTGTTCGATCTACGGACATCGTACTGGTTGCCGGAGACTTCAATGCTCAAGTGGGATACCTTGACGATTCATAAAGGCTTCTTTGCGGACCACCTGCAAACAGAGCCAGCCGGATGGACAACGGAAATCGGGTACTTTTACTGCGCGGATATCATCAACATCGTACAGCGAGATACAACGAAGCGAACTTCACTGATCGCTGCCAAGCTCACAATGTACACAAATCAAGTGATGATCACAAGATGGCAGACCATGGACTGATCCTGTCAAGTACGAACTTCTCGCACAGGAACCGACACCACCTTAAATGGAAACCGCGAACCTCTACACAGCGCTGGACCCAAGTCGACCACATCGCCATCAGTTACTTCTGGAGAGGGTCGACTGCCGTTTTTATTGGTCCACACCTGTAGATACGTATCACGTTTTGCTACGAGCCAGATTCTCCTTGCGTTTGGAAAACAGCCGCTAAAAGCCACCGACAACAGATACCCACGATGCAACGTCAGCGATTCCTGCAAAAACAGGCCTTCGAAGCAGAACTCTCCGATCACCTGTCAGCTCAATCACCAGCCTATGGGCTCAATGAACACTGGAAGCAAATCAAGCAAGCCTTGCAAATATCAATAAAATTAACGTCGGACCCTCGCGCAAGCTCCGAACATAGGCGATGAATCTCGGCGACCTCGGCTGCCATTGTGGATGCCCGCAGAACTCTTTATCTCGATGCCACATATGACAGGGCGCAAACCCTCAAACGCCAGCTCATCGGGAGTCTGAAGAAGAACCACGAGAAGTGGTACAGTTTGGTTTGTACAACCCTTAACCATGCACTATTGTGCGTTGGTTTTGGTTACTGTCATTTGACTACCCAGTTGGATGAATATAAGTAGGAAAACAGAAAATATTGGAACCAGGATCAAAGAGGAAATTTAGAATTTCATTGCACTAATTGTGCAGAGAAATTGACAAGATGCACGAACGTCGCTGTTTACGACACAGCCGTATTACTCAGAGTCTTTGAGCATCGGGTACGATCATCCCGAGGTCCTAGGCCAGCCAGCCTAACGCGACCTATGCGACCCAGACTCCCGGTCAGGGTTCTCATACCCTCATGTCAGTTTCAGTTTCAGTTTGAACAACCATTAACCATGCACTTTCGTGCGC